TGAGCAGGAGAAGGAAAAGACCTTCCTCAATGCCTGGCAGAGCACCTTTCTCTATGCTCTGGCACATGTCATGTCTGCAGCAGCCCTGCAGCACAACCCAACCACCCCACTCTCTCCTCTTGGAAGGGCCGGAGCACCCCCTCTCTGGATAGCGGAGGATGATCCACATGTTCATCCTCCTCTTACTGGCCATGAGAGCCTTCAGCAAGACTTCATCCAGCCAAGTGACAGCTCTGTGTCTTCTACACACCTACTTCTTCCCTGGGGATGACTTACAGCACAAAGTATTCCTCAACACGCTCCGAGTGGAGCACGCCTGTCCATGCACCTCCCTGGCTGCTCCTCCTCTCCCAACACAGCCAGGGATAGGGAACTGCCTCGGGATGAGAGGGATGGAAGCCCACAGGCTTCTTCCTCCCAGTCAGGGAGCCTCCCTGCCGCCTACCTGACTCCAGCCCAGAAAGACAAGCTACATCTCTGACAGCTCTGCGCTGCTCCAGGGAAGGGATAAGCACTCACACCCCGTTTGTCACACTTGGAAGCAAATCAGACAGACAGAACTCCACTCCACTTGTCCTCCCATTTTGTTAAACAAGGGATGGGAGGCCGTGGCATGTCTCCTCGCCAAGGAAAGCAGCAAGCAGTTTTTCAGCTGAACACAAGCAGTGCGCGGGCGGGGGGAGCGGCACAGAGCGGCTCACTGCAGTGACAGAGACACAAACCCATCTCGTGATTAGTTATTGACTCCAGAGGAGTTTGAGCTCTAGCAGCAAGCCAGCCAGGAGAGCAAAAATCCCTCTTTTGTTCCCCAGCCTCAGACAGACTTGGCCACACAGCTCCCTGCTGTCTCACTTCACACAATGAGAAAAGAAAGTTAATCCAGCTCCCCTACAGCAGGAGCCATCCAGCCTGCGGGAGTGATGCTGCGGAGCCATCCATGAGCATTCCTGAGCCTGGCTCATCCTGGCACCCACCATTGCTGGTGGATACCAGACAGCTCAAGGACTCATGGGACATTGCCAGGATCACCAGGGACAGTGCCCTCCAAACTCCCAGGCCTTCCTCAGCTCTGCAGGCTCCCACCCCACACTGCCCCCCAAAGCAGGGACCAGCCATGGGGTCCCTGCTGCCCCAATGGTGAGTGGGTGACCCATGCTGCCAGCACAGGGATTTCCAATGCTCCTTTACAGACAAACTTCTGACTCAGGAGAGAGCCAGCCAACTATGCAGGGACTGAATCCACCTTTTCCCCAGCACTTTCCCAAGCCACAGCCTTCCTGCAGGAACAATGTTTTCCACTGTACCAGAGGTCAAGTGGTAGGAGAATCATGGCCAACAAAGTCCTTTGGTGTCATCCCTTCCCCTCAGGAAGGGCACAGGTTACACACATGTCAGAACCACCAAACCAAAATTTCTCCCTGCTGCCCTTCTAGGGGGCAGAAGTTACCTTTTAGTTTGGACACCTGACCCAGCATTTCAGAGCCCTGCTCTTCATCCCCCTTCACCACCAGCTTTCTCTGTCCTCCATACGAGAAGTGAGAATATTTACTACATTTAAGATCAAAAAAGAAAATTATTATTCATGGGTTCTCTGCTCTGTGGAAATGGGAATTATGTATCTGTATTTCTAGAGCATGAACAAACATGAGTACTTGTGTCTAGAGCTTTGTAGTTCAAGGGAGTGATTTTAAAATCAACTCATCCCTGCATAAACCTGGACAGCCAAATAACAGAGGGGAGAATAGCAAAATGCTGAAATCTGCTCCGGAAAGCACTTGCTGTTTCTTTTCTCTTGGTGACCTGGCAGAGAGGGCTGTTATTTTAACATTACCCTTGTTGAAGCCTCACTGAACGGCAGGCGGGACCAAAATAATCCACATGGCCCCTGGAAGCCACAGAGTTGAGAGGAAAGTGCTCCAGCATCTCCAGGCAGCACAAGCCTTTGTTCCCACATACTACTGCCGGCAAGCAGGACTGCCTGCCCTGCTCCAAATGAACTGGCTTCCCTCCTCCTTCCCCACAAATTAACTCCATCTCCAGCTGTCCCTGCGCAAGCTTCCTGTAAGATTAATTATTCTTTGTACACACACGTTTGATGATTTACCCAGCAAACCAGGCACAATGATCAGGAATTCTCCGTTTCCATCAGCGCTCTCCCCTGAGGCTCAGAAGTTTTCTGGGCAGGTCCCTCACCCTGGCACAGGCACAGGAAGAAGTGTGGCTCCTCAGAAGGTTCACGTGGGTCACCAAGGACCAGTCAGTATTTGTGATGCTGCTGCAAGGTCAGCTGAAGAAGATGTGCTCCTGAAGAGCCCTCACTGCCAGTCAGCAGGGCTGGCACTGACGCCAGTCTAAGTGGGAACATTAATGATCCCAAAAGGTGTGTCCCCAGCTACGCTGTCCCATGACCCAAGATTTCTCCTGTGTTTAGCCAGGCACAACGAGCTGTGTTTGTTTGCACTGTCACCTTTCAGAAGGTGTAATTTCCAAGAGCCAGAAGTTACTGTGTGAGGAGTCACCTACAGGCTGGTTCCGGCTGTGATCTCACACACCACAGCACCGAGAAGTCACCGCGCCGGGCTCACCTGGCTCAGGAAATGGAAAGCACCAAGTTGTGGAGCTGTGGGCCCGACCTGACAGGAGTGAGGACTTTGTGTCTTCTCCGAGAATTAGTTTATTAACCTGGGAAGTCACAGTTGGCCACAGAAGGTGTGGGGGGGTATTACAACCTAAGATGAGTTGATGCCACCCAGCTCTCCCCACAGCCCAGCAGGAAGCCAGAGCATGTCAGGCGGTCTGATCCCTCCAGTGCTGAGCCCACAGAGCTCAACAGGGCTCACAAGTCCCTTTAAGATCTCTTTCAGCAGGTAGTCACCTGCTCTAACACCAAAAAGATGTTTCAGCAGCTACATGAACCTCTTCCTCTGAGGGTGAGACATTTCCTTCATCCAGAAATAAGGAGAAGGTGCCCAAGAGATCAAGTGCAGAGGGTTTAAGCACCAGAGACCATGAGATACACAGCAGGAGGGAGAACACACAACAAAGAATCACATTGTGTTTGGCAGAAGTTGGTTTCACATCCAAGTGTGACTTAACTGGGTGAGTTCTGACACAGTAATGGAAAGTTTCTACCCCAGCTCATGAAGCCACTATACAGGAAACAGCCTAGAAGAGCTGCTCAGTGACCCAAGCACAAAAGAAGCATCGACCACATGGAGCCCACCTCAGATTTTGGCTCGATGTTTCTGACAGCTTTCCTAGAGCTCAGCTGCCCCAGCTCTTACCAAAATCCCTGCACTAGCCCCAAACACTAGATCCCACAGCAAAACCCCTCCTGAGTTCAGGACCTGCACTTAACACCAGACCCTGATGCTTCTCAGAATCAAAGCAGAAAGAAGGTCTAGAACAAAGAGACACCTTTCTCCTTCCCTACAACAACACCAGGAAGCAGAGCAGAGCTGGTGTAGAGCAGAACCTGGCAGGTCCTCTCCAAATGGGAATTGTAGAGGGAGCAGCAAGTAGCTTTGGCCAGCTGGCAGCACAAGGGGCCAGCACACCCAACCCTCCAAGACCAAACTCTTGTCCTTGAAGCACCCTCAGGAATGGATGGAAGTCAACGGGATGGGCCGAGGAGGGAAGTCAGCCAGACTTCATTAGGAACGTCTTTGCTGGAAGTGCATCTGGAAGTGCTCTCCACTGAGATAAACGCTGGATCTGCAACAGTTTTGCTCTGACAGGAGTTAAACAGGCTACAAGTTTATGCTTGTCCTAGATACTTTTTTTCCACAAGAAGCTTCCAAAAGCTATTGCAGACAACTGGGAGAGGTGCTCGCAAAAGCAAGGCTCAGGCAAGCATAGGCACCATCATCCAGGCTGACAGCTCTTGAACAGAGACTTCGCATTTTACATTACTTGGTCTTTTTTTCCCCCTCCAATAATTTGTTACAAAGGAAGCAGCATGCACACACGAGAAGCAAGCAAGACCTCAGGGAAAACAGCAAATTGGTTCACATTTCCACAGCACTGAGCACAAAGCTGACTTGCAAATGCGAATGACTTCTCTCAGGAGGGGGAGGAAGCTCCCAGTTTGGATGATCCGAGCCCAGCAGCTCATCTCCCTGCCGTCCAGCCCCATCCCTCTGCCCTGACGGACTGCACCAGCCACGAGCATGGCCAGAGCCTCGCGTGGAGCAACAACAACCCCGTAGCCCAGCACCTGCTGCTCCAGACCACTGCTGCCCAGCGGGCACTCTCTGCCCTCCACTCACAGCACCTCGTACACACCGCGGACATCTCCCACACTAGCAGAGCCACAACTCAAACGCCCGAGTTCATTCGAGATGTTACAACACGGCTGCTGGCTGCGGACGGTGCCTGCGAGCCGGGGGGTGGGTGCCGCTCCTGCAGGACACAGCATCGCCCGTCTCCTCCCTCCTGCCGAGGCAGGGCTGCTGCCCACCTCCTGCCATCGCCCTGCCCGGACACATTCGGGCTCCGTCCGACCCAGGGGCACCAGGCTCGGGGTTCGGGGGCCGTGCCGGGGCGATGCCGGCAGCCCTGGGAAGCCGCAGGACTCCGGGAAAGCAGAACGAGACGGGCGAGCCCCTCCACCAGCACCCGCTGCCACCCTGGGCACCCGCCAGCTCCGGAGGCTGCTGTGGCACAGCCGCGCGCTGGGCTGCTTTGGGAAGGGGGTTGGGAGGATGTTTCCTTATTTATGGGATAGGAGCAAAAAGTAAGAGGAGGAAGCGGGGGAGGAAATAATCCAGCAGGTTGCTCCCATCGGCCTCTCCCGGCCGCCGCATGGCAGCGGGGGCAGCAGCGATGGGGCAGCCCCGGAGCCGCCGGTCCCCAGAGCCGGGGAAGGGAGCCCGGCCGCTCCCCGGCACCATCCCCGGGGCGCCCCGCGGGCAGCCCGTGAACCCTCCCCGGGATATCCGCCCCGCCGTGTGGCCCCGCGGGCGGCGGGCACGGCAGGGCACGGCAGGCCGCGGGCTCACCTCGGTACTGCAGCGAGCCCGAGAGCCGCACGGTGACGGTGCCCGCCAGCGGCTCGCCGGGGCTGTAGACGACGCGGCTATCGCCCAGGCGGATCTCGAAGAGCTGCACCTTCCCCATGGCCGCGCCGGCCCGGCCGCTCTCCTCCGCTCCGCTCGCCGGCTCCGCTCGTACCTGCGGCCCGCGCTGTGCCTGCCCCGGCGGGCGGGACCCGCCCCGCGCCCGCCCCGCCCCGCCCCGGCCGCGCTGAGGGAGCGGGGCGGGCCCGCGGCAGGGGCAGCGGCCGGGCCGCGAGCAGGGTGCTGCTGGTGGGTCCCTGAGTGCCGAGAGAAGGGGCCAGTTGTGCGGCCAGGCTGAGGGAAAGGAGCAGGCTGTGGGGCTGGGCTGTGAGGGAAGGGGTAGCTGGTGGATCCCTCACTGCTATAGGGTCAGGCGATGAAGTAAGGGGTAGCTGATGGATCCCTGACTACTATAAGGGAAGGAGCTGTGGAGGAAAGGGCAGCTTCAGGGGTTGGACTGTGCTGGGAGGGAAGGGATTGCTTGTGGGGTCAGGCTGGGAGGGAAGGAGCAGACTGTGGGGCTGAGCTGTGAGGGAATGAGAAACTGATGGATCCCTGACTGCTGTGAGGGAAGGAACCACTTGTGGGGTCAGGCTGTGAGGGACAGGACTGGGTGTGGGGTCGGGCTGTGAGGGGAGGAGCTGACTGCCCAGCATGGGGCCAGTCTTGCCTCCTGGTGATCCTTGCTCCCTCTAATCTCATTTCCTCCCTGTAATTCTCCAGGCCCAGCTGTCACCTCTCCCTGCTCCTGTTTTTATAACCCCAGTTGCTTTAAGTGTCCAGTAAGAGGCAAATACAAGGGACCTGACAGCAACCAGAGACTGAGGAGTCAGTGATGACCGCATGCTCTCTATGGATCAGTGGGTGAAGGTCAGGGTGTCCCAGGAAGCCAGCGATGACCAGCACACTTCATACATTTGCCATGTTCCTCCCTCATCTCTGCCTGATTGAATATAAACCATCTGTAAAACCCACACCAAAGGCAGCGCCGGGAAAAGGCACCTCCCGGCCGCTGGCGAGCAGGCTGTGTACACAGGCAGAATGAATAAGTGTAAAAGGAGCTGTTTATCTGCAGAGCACACCCAGCCTGGACCGGGCTGGACAGACAGACGTCCTCCCACGGCCCTGCAGTGACACCAGCCTGGGTGTGTGGGGCTGTGGGACCCATCGTGCTCCCTTATGGTGGCTGTGGCAACCCGAAACCCCTGACAGGGTACCAAAGGAGTTTCTGTGCTCCGGGCACACAGGGCTCCTGCTGGGAAGTCTTTCCAGGCCCTCCCTCCTCCGGTGCTTAAGAGCTACCTCTCGTTTCCAGGCTGCGTGTAGTCACTGGCTACAGACACACACCAGTCTTGTGCCAAGGCTTTCTGCAGCTCATCTCCTCCCGCAGGGCGTACCCTGGGATCCGCACACCGCTCTCCTTGTGCTGCCCTTAGCTTCTGTTTTCCCAGGCTAGGCACGCCAATTTGCTCCAGCCTTTTTATTTTGTAAGACGAGCCTGCAGCCTCTTTCATCAGTCTCTGCAGCCCCTATTTAGCTCTGCCAGCAAAACCACACAAATTAGGAGAAGGGGGGGGGTTGTGTGGAAACACCCTGAGCTATAGCAGATTTTACTGAACCCTCTTCCTCCATGGAAAGTGGCCAAAGGCTCATGATTTGAGGCACAATCAGGACCACCCCGTCTCTGGGGCTGCACTGGCACCCTTGCCCCAGAGGGTCACACCACACATGTGACAACTCAGGGTGGAAAAACCATTCTCCAAACCGGAGTCCATGCCGCAGCTTCTCCTGACATGGAGATTTATGCACCTTGTTTGCAGAGAAGTTAATTTTAAGCACAGCAAAGTTGCTTGCCCAAGGTCACAACGTGAGTAAAAAGGATTCCTGCACCAGGAGCTGAACAAAAGCAGCCAGGCACAGCTACAGTACTGCAAGGGTTTGTGCTAAGACACACAGGGTCCCTTGTCATGTCATGGCCATCAGCGATGCCACAGCACCGATCCATCCCCTGGACCACAGCTACTGGGTAGAGCAGTCTATAAAATGTAACCGTATCCATTATAATGGATATAATTGAAGCATGGAGAAAAGAAGACTTCAGAAAGACCCCATTACAGCCTTCTAGTGTCTTAAGGAGGCTTCAAAAATGGAAGGAGAGGGACTTTTTAAATGGGTAGATAGTGACAAGGGGCGGTGGTTTTAAACTGATAGAGAGCAGGGTTAGATTGGATGTTAGGAAGAAAAATCTTTGGTTAGAGGGAAGTGATGCCCTGGCACAGAGGGGCTGTGGCTGCCTCTGCATCCCTGGAAGTGTCCAAGGCCAGGCTGGACAGGGCTTGGAGCATCCTAGGGTATAGTGGAAGGTGTCCCTGCCCATGGCAGGGGGAGGAATGAGATGATCTTTAAGTTCTCAAACCAATCTGTGATTCTATAATTCAATATATTCAATGCCTGCAGTGCCAGGGCATCCATCATTCCCCTGGTGATGCCAGATTCAGGAGGATTTTACTCACTGCAGTCAAATAGTGTATTTACATTCCTGCCTCCCTGCTCACCCCAGAGTCATTCCTCTTATCTACTTGTGTGAGGAGTCATTGGAGTTAAAACTCAGAGCAGTTTATAAAAAAAAGTAAGCTAAGGATGTTTGGTAAACGGCCACGGTTTGCTTTCTGATATTTTTGACTATTGTTTTGGTTAAAAAAAAGAAGTGTTTTGAAGAGTTTTGTTGTTGTGGTGGGAAATCTCACTTCCTCTGCATCCTGTGTGCTCTCCCTTCCTCCTTTTTCCCTTATTAAAAGGGAAATTTAAAAAGAGAGAAGAAAAATGTCAAGACAAGTTTTAGAATAAAATTTTCCTTTCAGATGTCACCACATTCCCCTAACTTCAAGGAACATGAAATTTTCTGACAAAGAACATAGTAGTTATTAAAAGGAAAAAATTATCAATAAACCCCCCTTCAGGAGCACCTGAGCCATGCTTTGCCAGCAGCAGAGATGAGCTTCAAGCACAGGAGCTGTGAGAGCAGCTGTGATGGTGTCACATGTGGGAAAAATGTGCCTACGGAGGGCTCAGCTGTGGCTGCGAGACACACAAGCCTCCATCATTAAGTCACAGACATTGCTTGTGACTTGAATTTGTTCCTCTCTTGTCCTTCCAGGATTTTCCAGCTGTGCATGCTGACACGGAGGAGGCACAGCCCCACCTGACCGTGCCTCAGTTTCCCCTGCGCTGGGGCTGCTCGGGGAGAGGCAGCGCGGAAATGCCTGGGCATGCCTGGGCCGTGACGGACGCCGCGTTAAGGACGGGAGCGCGGCCGGGCGGGGCAGCAGCACGGTGCCCCGGGGGCAGTTCGTGTCTCCAGGTCATTTCCACCTGCCCGACGCTCCGCGGTGGCTGCAGGGCGGAGGGCCGAGCCTGGCAGGTGCTGCCCGGCACCGCGGGGACACCCAGAGCCTCTCCTGCTCTCGTTACAAGATCAGTCTCTCTCTCCGCCCTCAAATTCTCTTGCTTTTGCCTTTCCAACCTCTCCCCCCGCTCCTACTGGGTTTGGCGAGGGCGTGACTTGCGGGAGCCCACCACACCCCATAAGGGCAGGCACCGGAGCGGCTGTGATGGAGGGGGAAGTAGAGCAGCAGAGCTTTGTGGAAGTTGACCTTTAGGTTTCTTAGTTCTTTCCCTTGAACTAAAATACACAGATGTGAACTGCCGTGGTGGGCTCTCTGTGCTACCTACACCACTGACAGCCCTTCTGTGTTCCTCTGTACATAGAATCCATTACCCTAATATATTTATATTACACTTAGGTTTATTAACCTTTCTAAATAATTTCCCTGCTTCACTCAGTGCCTCTCCACTTCTCAGCTGATTTGCTGGCGGGTAAACTACGTCATCTGATACCAACAGCAACAACAATTACTCATTTGTTTCAGGTTGACACCTTCCAGCAGTTCAGGCAGAGGTGGTACCGTTCAGCCACACCTCCCTGCACACCATCTCTCTCTTCGCAGGAGGCCACAGCCAAAGTCCCCTGTCCCCTTTCTGTGGTGTAATGTGTAATTTAGATGATTCATGCTTATGTAGAATATGATAGAAATATACATTATATAAGTTATAATGTTTGTAAGAAATATTTGGAAAGATTACAAATCCACACGCGGGAGCCAAGGGATTACCTCATACCTACCGAGAGACTGCCTCATGCTATTGCGAAACCATAGATGGCAGAGGAGAAGCCTGATTTACAATCGAAAGAGCCTGGCTCTGGAGAAGATGAGTCCTTACTCAAGAACAACCTGGGCGATGAATACTCGACAAGTACCGAAGATCAAGATAGCAGGAACCATCGGGAACTTGCATCCCAATGCCAGGTTCCCCTAACAGACATCAGCATTCATCGCTTGCTGGGAACTACATTGTCCAGCCCAAAGCAGAGAAAGGAGACAACATGAATATGTGTAACCAGGAAAAGAACAAAAGAGACTCTGCCTCGGGCTAATTAAAGTGTATAAAAACTGCCGGGGACACACACACACTGTCCTGAACAGAGGGCGATCCGATGAGATAGAGGTCGGACCAGTGTTCACCCAGAGCAGAACCTGGGCTCGATGCTGTCCCTTTTGATTGTGGCTATCAGAGACCGTATCTCGGTCGCAAAATAATTTGGCTCGATCGATTATTGTCTGTAACATGTGGGTTCATCTACAAGGCAACTCCTAGGCAGCTTCCCCAAGGTTGGAGTTGGATGTCCCACCAGTGGTGTACAAATCTCTGGGATCAACATGTGATAGAATTATAGACTGGTTTGGGTTGGGAGGGACCTTAAAGCTCATCTCATTCCTCCCCCTGCCACAGGCAGGGACACACCTTCCTCCAGACCAGGCTGCTCCAAGCCCTGTTCAACATGGCCTTGGATATTCCCAGGGATGCAGAGGCAGCCACAGCTTCTTTGGGCAACTCCAGCACAATGTCCTGGGACTCTGCAGCAGCTCTCCACTGCTGCAAGAACTCCACCAGCCTATTCATCTCACCGAGCCTCCCAGACACAAGGGCCACCAACCCAACACAGCCCAACTCCTGGGAGGATGAGAGGAGAGCAGGAAGCAACCAGGAACCACACTCAGCACAGAGCCAGGAGGCAGCACTGCTCAGGGG